AACAGCACTTCTACAGGTGGTACTAGCTTACATGTAACAATCAGAGCAGAATCTGAAAATCTGACTATGTTGGACAAGTGTTGACTTACAATGAAACTGCAAATACAGCTGTCCTGACTTGCATCTTAAAAATCAGTCACCACTTCAAGATTCTCACAATTTGAGTATTGAAAGACAGAAAGACCAGTTTGACATGGTCATTAGTGAGTGAAATTCAACTCATTCAGATGACCATTAGTGGCTTCCAGTAACACTCAGCGTGGTCTTGGAAGCATTAGGATACACTTAAACTAGCCATAGACTGCTTGAATTTCAGACAGGTCTCACTGAACCAGCAAAAATTCTAACCATGGGTGGCTCCATATCCCACCTGGTTTTACAAAAAAGGCAAAACGTAAAAATCAATGGATCCAGATAGCAGATATCCCTCTGTCCATGCAGTTCATGTGGATAGAAAGATCAATTCTCACATTTAGCCTGTGTATGGCCAACTATAGTTCAGTAAGGCCAAAATATATATTTAATGTTTCAGATAGATGACAAACTAAAAAGTCTAGTTTTTTTTATTGCTGAGTAGCCACTGGGAAGATCTGAACTTCTTGTATCAATAGTACAAAAAGGGAAGGTCTCCAATATGGGCACAGAAAGCAGACTCTTCAAAAGGATTGTTGCTCTTTAAACACCCCCCCCCCCCCCCCCCCCACACACACACTGAAAAGATTCTCTAATTTTCCATAGTGCCTCTGGTATAGAAAGTGGGGAGAAACGACCCCAGTGGGAACAGACGAGGGGTTGGGTAAAAATAAAAAACCCACACACACCTTAGCAGAGGTTTTCAACTTTCCCTACATCTACCTAAAAACAGATTAAAAAGACAAAAAAAAAAAAAAAAAAAAAAAAAGAAGAAGAAAAAGGGTCGGGCTGCTGTCTATTTTACTATTAAGGCAACACCTATATTTAAAACTGTACATTACTTGTCCATGAATATTTAACCAATGCATCACATTTAAATAGGATTTTGCACATAAAAAATGGACCAACCTGATAAAAGAAAAATAGAAATTTTGGAATACATCCAGTTCCCCATGTTTTGTCCCTTTAAAAAAACTGCAAGTACACAAACAACTGTTGGTATGCCAGAAATATAATACACTCCTGCCTTTTTATGACTGGACAAAATGGCTCTAAACTTCAAAAAGCACCATTCCTACCGCCTTTCCACTTCCTTGTGCAAAGACAGTGCACAGAAGTTATTGGCTCACAAGATTTCTGGTAAAAATCAACAGCTATTTTTTGCACTTACTGAACAGATAATCCACTTTCAAAAGAGCAAAAAGGGAGCAATTAAAAAAAGCGCAATGTTAGAGTTTACACAAATGACCAGATTAGCTTTTGCTATGGACTAAGCAACTGAGTGTCAAGCATGTCTAACTTTAGAAAATTGAGACTTAAGCATATGCAATAAGGAGCTGACCCCTTTTGAATGCTGGAAGAGCTTTAACAATATCCACAGCCTTCTCTGGCAGTAAAGGATTTAATACTGAAGTGCGCACCACATCTGCACAAATTTAAGTCCACACAACATCCACATTACAGAAGCTTTAAAAAAAATATCTTAATATATATCAGCCTTTTCTACTATAATCAAAGCTTGAAAACGGCCTCTGGACCCAAGGGGAGCAAGATGGGGGAAAAAAAAAAATTAAACCTCTTGGGCAGAGATTAATTCCTATGTTTGATGTATTGTAGCAGCATCTGAATCTTATCCTGTGAAGTCCTTGGAAGACAGAATCCAAGCGTTGCTTAAGGATGGGGCATGTACTGTTTACTTGTTCCTGTTACATAAAACCTTCAAATGGGTGGCCACTGCTGTTGCAGCAGTCAGCAAACCAGAAACTACATGAATAAAAGCAGCCAAACTTTGACAAGTTTAAAAAGGGGAGTCTGAATAGATAATGTGAATAAGGCACATGTTTTAACATTCACAGAACTGAAGAATTAAAATAAAATTAAAAGCAACGTTTAGTTTCTGTCTGATGAAATGTTTGTGTAGAAGCTAAAAAAAACAAAAAAAAAAAAAAAAAAAAACCACGTGCTTCAAATAAGGCTTTAAAAATACAATTCTATGCCAATACCGGACTAGTGTGCAATATCAGTGTCACCCTGTTGATGGCTACCACCCAGCACTGAGAAAGGGGGAAAAAAAAAAAAAAAAAAAAAAAAAAAAAAAATGTTCTATATGTTACTTTCCTCTTCTTTTACAACATCGTCTGAATTCTGAGGAAGGACTGAGAGTTCATTGTTGACTTTGTGTTCTGCTTCACCGCCATTTGCTTCTTGGCTCCTCTTTTTATCTTCGGCTTTCTGCTCTTTTGCAAGAAGTCTGTAATGGATAGTCATCCCAATAATTAAGTAAACTGAAGATACGATGAGTATTATCCCACAAGCTTGGTAAGTATACTTGTAGTCTCCATATATGTCATTTAATTTGCCTGGAAAAAAAAAAAAAAAAAAAAAAAAAATTAAATTAAGGATCTTTGGAGGAAAAAACAAACAAAAAAAAACAAACCACACACCAAACTTTATAGACATAGGAAAAAAAACAAACAAAACAAAACAAACTTGGAAACCACTACACCACTCTATTTCAATGTAATTACCCATGCTGAATAGCATTGCCAGTATGCACAATGCAGTCTGGTTTGTTCTAAACTGTCAGTGTTCGTATACTTGTGCCATTCTTCACATCAACTAGCATGCAGAGGTCACCCAGATTCAACATGCAAACATTGCAAAGAACAGGACACAGGTCTTGAAGGGTAGCAAAAAATGGCCTGGACAGGAAGGGGGCTAAATCCTCTGGAGAGCAAGTGGTTAATGAACTTCATCCACTTAAATGACAACGCTTAGCAACTTTTTTTTTTTTTTTTTTTTTAAATTCGCACAAGAAACCATTCTTGTTTCGGGAACAGTCAGCACTCAAGTGCCTGTGATGGATATTAGGGTTCATGCACACTGGATGCTCCCTAGACGCCTTTCTCCTGGCAGCAAAAAGACACTTGATGCTGGTAGTGACATGTACCGCATTTACCAGCATCAAGCACTTGGTCATTTCAGTGGTAAGAAATCACTTTATTGGCCAGAATAATTTGTTCTGCCCACTGAAATGAACACTCAAGTACTAAACATACGTTTAGAGATGACCGCATTAACGAAAACTCTTCAAAAATGCAGAACTGCCTCTAAACGCCGCTACTCCTAAACTCTGGTTTACTAAACCTGGAGTGCAGCTCTGCATAGTAGTCAGCTTAAAACTTCAGCTTGTTCAATTAAGATTTGACAAAAAAAAAAAAAAAATATAGAAGCGGATTGGATTCTATGCATAGCTGAACCAGAAGCGAATTGGATGCTATGCATAGCTGCACCAGATTTTGCACTCTCTAATTTTAATAAAATCAACCCGTGTATGGAAACAGACTTGAGTTGTGCTCAGGGTCTCTGACAAAAACTAGGAGGTAACTAGGAGTTTATTAGCCATGCTTCTGAGGGGACCCAAATGGCCTACATGTAATAAAAATGATATTTTACAAAGTGGCCCAGATCTTTATTATAGGTGATCACTTTTAAGCAGTTCTAGCAAGAGGTTTTTTTTATTTTTGGGATAAAGATTTCACATCTATAAAAGCAGACCATTGTAAGTACATGACAGTTAATAGTTTATCTCAACCCTTAACTGCCACTTCTGCAGCACAGCCTGCTCTATTGCAAAATACCAAAACATACTGGCCAGATCACTAGGTGAAAAAGGAAAAACACCACATCACCACAAGACTTTGCAAGGCTGCAATATATCTTAAAAAAATCAGGAAGTGACATGTCAAACTAAAATACTCCACACAGTAAAAAAAAACAAAAAAAAACAAAAAACAAAAAAACTCCCACAGTAAATACTGAAAATATATTAACAGTGCCCATAAGGCCCCTTTTAAACAAGTGGGCCAATCTGGGGCGCCTGTCAATTTTTCAAGTGGACCCAATTTGACTTTCCATTCTCCTCTATGGACAAATGGGTGTAAATTAACTTGTTTCCGTTTACACCTCCCTACATCCAATCGAATGCCCTTAAAAAGAAAAAAAAAAAACCCACTGAAGGATGGGGATCCATTCCCTATCTGTCTAGCTTATTGAATCGAAAAGAACTTGTGAAAACAAGCTAAACACTGTGTCCATTACCTGGGTATAATTATCCACTCAGAGGTTTGCGACCTTACTGATCAAGGTCTTACAGTATGCACATTAGTGCAGTATCATCCCCCCATTAGTTGATTCTTCAGTGGCTCACCAAACTTTAAGGATATACTTTTTCAATGTAGAAGTTTTTTACTGTGTGGAGGGTTTGTTGATATATTTATTGCTATTCAATTTTGACTAGGAGTGTTAAAAAAAAAAAAAAAAAAAAAAAAAAAAACCACCACCACACCTACATCAGAAGTCTTGGATCTGTGGATGGAAAAGGTGCAGAACAGATTTCAGAGGACTCTAGAATCATTGACCTATGTGGGGTAAGACGCCACTCAAAACTAATACAGTACTAAAGATGTGGATATGTCTGTATGGCCTCAGCCAGCATTGCTCCATCCACAGCCCAACAGCCCCGAGTAGGCAGGGAGAAACAGGTCAGGGGGCATGGCCGGAGCAGTGCTGGCTGAGGCCATACACAGCAATTTCTACCTCTAAATCCCCAGGTCGGTTTTGAGCAGCATCTTACCCCACATATATCCACGCTTCTGAATTAGTGCCTGAAGCCTGCTTCCACTTTCTGAATCCCTGTAGGGACACATGCTATCCTCCAGCTTTGAGCAGCACTCCAAGTCTACACATGATTCTAGAATAAAGTTACTTTTGGGATATAAAGCGGTTTATAATAGTGGATGAATACATTTTAAAGCCTGAACGTTTTCACACATGCCTCAAGTACTTAAAACTTGGTCAATCTTACCTAAGAGGGGTGGCCCTAGAAGAACAGGGCAACATTCCACAATTGTCACCAGTCCAACAGCACTGGAAAATCTATTTGCGCCAACTAAATCCATTAAGGTTTCAAAAAGGACAGAGCTGAGCCAGCCGAAAAAGAAGCCAAAGAACGCAGCATAGATTGCAAAACCAACATAATCATGTGATAAAGGTGCCAACAGGTGGCATATTCCATTAAAGAGCACAGCCACAGAAAAGAAATATTGAATCCTAGGTCTCACCCACTTGGTATTTGCAACTATCCCCATAGAAGGCCTTGCAACCATATCTACAAAAGCAAGGATGGAAAGCAAAAAGGCTGCACTCCCTGGAGAAATGTGTTTGCTTTTTGCATAGTTACTAAGAAAGACTAAAGGTGTAAAGAGTCCAAAGAACATGATTGTGTGTCCAGATAGGTAGATCAGGAATCCTCTATGAGTAAAAAGGGAGATGTCCAAAAACTTGTTAATTGTCTGATAGAAAGTTGGTTTTGTTTTTGCGGTTCCATCAATAAGGTCTTTGTTTGCATCCTTGTCTTCTTTGGAGTTGCACTTTCCAGCTTCCTCCAATACTTCCTTTGTCACTTTCTTTTTCAAATCATCAGGCTTTGGTCCGATGGGGCGCATCAAGGAGCCTGCAACGCAACAATTGAGAAGAAGTCCTCCCAGGATCAAAAAGCTTCCTCTCCATCCAAAGATACTGTAGAAGTATTGGTTTAAAGGAGCAAGAGTTGACAAAAATACAGGACTGCCTGCCATTGCCAAGCCATTAGCAATTGGCCTCCTCTTGAAGAAGTATTTGCCAATCATTGTTAGAGCTGGATTTAAGTTAAAAGCAAGACCAAAACCTAGGGAGAAAAAAAAAAAAAAAAAAAAAAAAAAGGATTAAGTTGTTGGATGTTTTACACTTTAGGTGACAAGCATACAAATAAGCACGTGCTAATCCTTAACCATTACTGCTTTTTGGACTTTTGTAGTACATCCAAACAGCGAAGGGTTCAGCCACAAGCTGGCTGATCACTTTCATAGTGCTGGCGATACGGTTCCCCAGATCTTTGCTTGGTTATCTGCATTGTAGATATTAAGGTCTATTAGACCTCCAATGTCTCCATAAAGAGTACCCGTCACCTGCCTAATGCTATCATATGAGCATTTGTTAACCACTTGTGAAAGCAATATAGTCAATTAAAAAGTTAATAAAATGTATTAAAAACAAAAAGAAAAAACACCACAAATAGGCATACAGGGTGAGTCATAGCACACAGTTAACCTCCCTGGCAGTATTCCCAAGTGTAGCTCGGGGTAAAGTTTCAGCACCGCAAGTGGTAACCCCGAGCTACACTCGGGAATACTCTGCAGCGCTGCTCCGGGATCCCTCTATCACTTACCTTGTCCTGCGCTCCCACGATGTCCCCGACAATGTCCTCTGGCTGATGCCGGCATCTGTCATCTGGGTTCTGTCCCCTGTGACGTCGGGACGTACGGGGAACGGAATGGCAGGAAATTTGAAAATGACTAAAAGGTGACATTCACTAAAATCACATAGTATTCCATTACTGTATCAAACCATTTCACATACATTTTGTCCCTAGTGCTTTGTCCTGTTTTAAACTAGCTAGAGAACAGCTATAGTAAATTAGAACCACTAGCAGAATTGTGTGATAATTCGTGGGGAAATTCATCAGACACTGAAAACTAGTTTGCGACTTTGCTCAGTGATGTGCGAACTTGGCGCTCTTTCAAATTTCAGTGTTTTTGGTTTGATTATATTAAATTTATTATTATATTATTTTTTATGATTATTAAATTATAATTTATGATTTCGCGATTCAAATTTTAACATACCCGGGATGTTTACCAGACTCTTTTTCGGACAGATTTCAGTGAGTTATTCCTAAAAATTACAGGCCTACAATAAAAAAAAAAAAAAAAAAAAAAAAAAAAATACATATTTCCGTGCAAAAAAGGTACCGCTTTGAGCACAGAAATATGGACATAATCAGACCGCTAGGGAGGCTACTGCTACAATGAGCTCATTTGGGTACCAGTTTTTTTGCGATAGACACACAAGACGTGACATCTCATATTTACTCAACACAACCATCATTCTAGTTTTTCTGAATCTAGGCATTTGACCAAGTCACACAAATCATGCAAAAAAAAAAAAAAAAAAAAAAAAAAAAAAAAAAAAAAAAAGGTACCCCTATTTACCTGCTACGAACCATTGGCTAACACAAACCAGCCCTAATAAACCTACCACCATTCGCTAAAACTTTTCTGCCATTATTTTAAACCATTAATATTTAAACCCCACTTACACGGATGCGTTTTTTGCACATGTTCTGACCCACTGTGTGTGTTGTGGTTCCCGATTAAGGTTCCCATTTCAGTGCCGCAGTCTAGCATTGGCAGGTCCATAGACATGACAGCAGCACATCACTTATCAAGTGCGCTTTGATGCTTCGATAACAGGTACTAGCAAGTCTTGGGCAATGGATATTAACCCTAGCCATCTCAAACCCATTGCCCTCAATTGCAAATCAGCCCTTTAGTGCATTAAACACATTACATATTCCCATGCACGGAGGCTCAATATATTTCAGGCTACATTCCGCCCCCCCAAAAAACACACACATTTTGATTATGCATCCAATGTATTCTTACATGGACGAATGAAGTGCGCTACAAGACAGCATGCACACTGCAGTTTATCACTATATTAATGCATTGAAAAGCACTGCATTGCACAAAATTATGCGCAATGCTGTAACATGGGACCAAGCACAGTCACATGGATGGGGTAACAAACCACTTACCCTCTAGGCCCTGAAAATAACCAAAACGAGGTATTTTGGTGAAGGCTGTGGGGGCGGGGGATGATCACTGGGTCATCACTGAGTTATCAGTGGGTCAGGAAAAGCTTTATTTGCACTGCTTTTTTTCAAACAGGGTAGGCAGGAGAATAGTTAAATTTAGTATTTTCTTCCACTTTAAAGCGGAAGTTTAGGTATGATTTTCCTCGCATAGCTACACTGGTCCACCTTGGACCAATGCAAGCATACATATCTCAGTCCTGATTGGACGTGGCTGAAGTTCCAAGTGGTGGCTAATATGCAGAAGGGCAGCTACTTGGCACAACTAGTGAAAAATACAGTGATCAGTCAGGTGTGAGATATTGCATTGGTCTGAATTGGACCAATGTAGGGGAAATCATACCCAATCAGCCTTAGAATGGTGTGAAAAGCAAAAGTAGTAAAACAAGAAAGTTTGTCAAGTATACCAGTGCATTCCAAAATGTCAGTTTGGTCTGATCATGAAGGGTTCAATTACCCAGGACTTGAAAGGATTATGGGTATATTAGACTACAAAAATGCATTAATTGTGCATTTATTTTTACATGACCAGTGTTCAGCTTTAATAAGAAAAGATGTAGCATGGTAAATCAGATATTCTTAAAGTGGATCTAAAGGCTTAAAGTTTTTTTACCTTCATGCATTCTATGGGGGAGGGGCCAGGAGCACCAGCAGGGGATCCAAGAGGATTGGAGCTGCTCTGAAAAATCACACAGGAACCTTTAGCCCCGGTTCACATATATGCGGCCATGCAGGCCGCGTTTTGCGTAGGCACGAGAGCCCATTCATTTGAATAGACTCCTGTGCCCCGTGACACACAGGGAAGAAGTTTCTGCACTTCCTCCGAAAACGCAGCCCGCACGGGAACCTCGGTTCCCATTACGGTTGCGCTTTCCAGTGCGGGTGGCATGCCATTAGAACTAATGGCACCTGACCGCGGGTCCACATTCCTCTGTGCGGGTGGTGTGGCTGCACAGATTGTTGTGCGGAACTGCAGTGGCATCACCTGCACAGATGTGAACCTAGCCTTCGTGTCACTTTAAAACACCCAGTATGTCTTACCCTTTGCTATCAGTCTCATGCAATTTAACAAAACATTTTTGTTGTAAGTTAAAGCACCACATACTCACAGAATACTAGCTTATATGAAAGCTTAAAACAAATGTCAGTTCCAGTTTTATAAAAAGGGGGAAACACTCACCTCCAATAACACCAATACAAAAGTAGAGTTGAGTCACCGTGTGACAAAATGAGGCACCGATTAAGCCAATTCCAGAGAGAAGGCCACCACACATCATTATAGGTCTGCATCCAAACTTATTCACCAATATACTGGATATGGGGCCTAAAAGAAGGTTAAAACATTGTTATAAACATACATTCAAAAAATACGGAATCCGTAAAAATGTACAACTTCATTTCAGCATTAAGTGTTATAATGCAGGGAGCCAAACATCAACTCCAATTACCTAGGCAATCCGAGCAGGGAAGGAAACTTTCCTTTTTTCTTTTTTTAGGTGAAGTTCCACTTCAAGACAGGCATCAAAATTAGGTCTACACAGCTTGCAGAGCACTTTATATTCATTATTGAAACCTCAAAAAAAATTTTTTCCTTGCAAGGTAATGTCATACTAGCACATTATGAAAGACTTGTGCTGAGAATGAAGCCCTTCAGCAGTGCGCTGTCACCGTTGCAGAGACTTCCATCTTCACCAGGTCTTCCTTCCGTGTTCCTGGCATGCGGCCACTTGAATGGCCAAAGCCGAGATAACATATCCATGCATGCGCACGGAAGCTACATGCCACGGCACACAGCTCTGAGGGAACGGCACAGGTATAAGTGGAAAATATCTGCAAAATTTGCCAGTGCTGTCTCGTGTAATCTAAATCAGTCCCACCTATCTTATCTCTATGTGAGCAAATAGTGATCCGGTGAAGAGCGAAATGGTAAAAATGTACACACTCACCAGAAGCGCACTGATCATCTGGTTTGTTATGATGCCCGCCGGACCTTCGTGATCCGGCGGCGTGACGTCACGGCGTACAAGGGCTCCTCCTAGATGCATTTCGTATTCACATATGTCATCAGTAGAGGTGTTGCCAACGTTGTGAAACACCCCTACTGATGACGTATGTGAATACGAAACGCGTCTAGGAGGAGCCCCTTGTACGCCGTGACGTCACGCCGCCGGATCACAGAGGTCCTGCGGCCATCATAACAAACCAGCTGGTTAGTGCTATTGCATATTCTAAAGGTTGGAGCAGCCCAGTTTGCTGCTAGTATGCTTATGTGAGTAGTTCTTCATACCATTATAGCCTGCCTAATGCCTATATCCTTACTGGAACCATTCATGCTCTGGTGTTTAGTTTTTAATATTTTTATCAATAAATTACCTTTAACCTACTACACTATGGGCGTTTTTTGTCTTTTGCTCCACACCGAGCAGTTGAACCTCATCCCAGGACCCCAGGTGACCTGTCCAGATCCAAGGAGGGAAGCCTTGGACCAGACCCCCCTGAGTGACAACCCATTTACAGGAGGAGGAGATTCTATACCAGGCTGTATCAAAAGGAGATCTGATCAATGCGCTTCCGGTGAGTGCGCATTTTTACCATTTCGCTCTTCACCGGATCACCATTTGCTCACAGAGATAAGATAGCTGAGACACCTGCTGTCATTGATTTGGACTTGAGTTCACTGGACACTGTCACTTTATTATTGCCTGCGACATTTATCTCTTGGACATATATTTAATACCGGCATTTTTTATTATTATTCAGGTCGTTTAGGGTTTCTATTTTTAGCGCTGCACTGTGTTTTTCTTATTTCTGGAAAGGTTTGTGGTTCCTTTTTGGTGCTATAGCTGCTAACGGTAAGCGTTCGCTAAGTTATTTTCTCTTATCCTAATCAGTCCCACCGTA